CCCGCCCCCGGCGGCCCGGGCGGGGGGGGGGGGTCGCCCAAGGGGGAGGGGCGTCCCAGGGGAAGGGGGCCCTGGAGGGGAGGGGCACGTCTGCGGAGGAGGGGGTGGGGGTGGGGCGTCCCGGAGAGAGGGGCGTGGGGTGGGGGGGATAAGCCTCCTGTGGGGAGACACGCCCCCAAGAGACGCGTCCTTGGGAGAGCGTCGCGGGGTGAGGGGCGCCCCGGAGAGGAGGGGCACGTCTGGGGGGGGCGTCGGGGGAAGCGCCCTGGGGGGGAAGGGACGCCCGGGGGGAGGGGCGCCCTGAGGGGAGGAGAGGAGCACGTGCCGGGGGAGGGGCGCCGGGGGCGCTGTGGGGGTGTCCCGGGAAAGGGGGAGACGAGTGGGACCGGGGGGTGGGCAAAGAGTGCGGGGAGAGCGTTGTCTTGGGCGAGGGGCTGTCCGGGCGTCGGGGACGGTCTGGGGGACGAGGGCGCGTGCGAAGGGGCCACAGTGACGGGAGCCCCGGGCCCCGCGGACTCACAGTAAACGAAAGCGAGGGCCCTCAGGAGCACGATCCTGGTCAGCCAGAAAGTGCCCGCTCGGAGACGGGCATTACAGCCCGTAGGGTCGCGCCCCGGCCCCCGTCCCGGCGGAGACCCAGGCTCGGAGCCCGCATTCCCGGCCTTCCGCCTCCTCAAGGACTCCTCGGGGTCCGCCATCGCGGGGCCGCCAATGCGCATGCGCGCGAGGCGCCAGGCGCCCGGACGCCCCGCCCAGAAAGGGAGGCCGCTCCCGCCCGGGCTGGCCACGCCCACGGGCGGGGAGCGCGCTCCAGCTCCAGGCGCGCGCGCGCCCCCCGCAGGCCGCACGGCGTGCTGCAGCAGTGAGAGCAAGACGGGGCGTACCTGGGAGGACCAGCGTGTTCTCCATCTGTAAAGCGGCGGACCCACTCCCTCGTTGGCGCTTTCATCAGCCAGTGTTGCAGAAGCTCCCGGTGCACTTTCTCACCCACGCGGCTGCCCTCCTGGACCCTCTCTCTACGACTGTTGGAAAGCTTGTGTCTGGACAGGACCGGGGTGGGCCTGGTCAGCGTCCGCGTGGGCATCAGAGGACCCTCGTGGGTGCTGCACTCCCTCTGCGTACCCCTGCGGTGTATGGAGTCGCATTCCAGGAGAGGAAGGTTTGGAGGCGGCCACTGACAGCTCAGTGTGTGTGGCCAGGGGTCTACAGGTGCCCCTTCCCATGCCCTCATCTCTGCTGTCCTAGGAGGATGTTGGGGTGACAGTTACCCAGCCAGCAGGGAGAGTACAGTCAGCGGCTGGGTCCTGAAATCCGGCCAGATCCTTCAGCTCAGGTCAGCAAAGCCGCACTAGGCAGCACCCCTACGGGCTCTCAAGATGGCACTGCTGGCCCCCTGGGGAAAGTGGCGCCCTGAGGATTCAGAGGAAAGAACTTACCGACCAATGTCCCAAGCAGAACCCTAGTGAGAACACCAGCAACTCCACGTTCTGAGCACAGAGCGGCCCGGGCACCGCTCAGGAGAGGTGTGCCACGTGCTCACAGGCGCTCCTTAGAAGAACACAGCGTGTGTGGGACAGCGTAGGCATTAGACCCTTAGTGGTTAGTGGGCACACTGCGAGGTGCTTGGAAGCACATCACTGACGCAAGTGTGGGTTTTCCTTATTCTTCACAGCTCTTTGCATATTAAAGATCCTATTCTTGTGTGTACATTGCAATTGTGTATACATTGTGTATTCTTGTGTGTACATTACTTGTGTGTACATTGTGTGTTTGTCCTGAGTGTTTTGTTTTGACATCTTGTTCTGAGTGTTTTGATGTATAAATGATGTATACTTGTGTGGCCAAATAATCAGTCTTGTTTGATTATATCTTTACTACCTGCCGTGTGAGCTCTGCGAGGGCAGGGACTGGCGTTGGACATAGGCTCCCCCAAATCTAGGACAGACCAGCAACTTCTGGAACCTTTCTTCAGCCCCCAGCTGTCCCCCACCTGCACTGCTGGAGTGATAACACACGTGCATCTTATAGTGTGAGTTTTTAAGCAGTGCCTTTCCCCCTTTTCTGCAGTGAAAAGTTCTCCCTTCAGAGCCCAAATGCAAAGTGGGGGAGTGGGGGCAGTGGGGGAGGAGGGGTGGGCACAAACATTTTCTGCATTCTTGTGAGCCCCCAGCAGGAAACCATGTGCCCAAGGGCTCCCAGCCTTGGGGATCTGGGGGACAGTTAGTCCTGGTCCATGCTTCCAGGTCTTTCCTGCAAAGCTATGATCTGCACCTCCCCTGCAGGGTCTGGGTGCTGTGTTGGGGATGGGCTAGCACAGCTGTCTGGGGGAGAGCAGGGAGAATTCGGTGCCCCTCAGCCCAAGCCCACTCAAGCTTCCATGCCTTCCCCCGGATGCAGGAGGTGCTCAAGGGACAGAAGGCAAGGAAGGACAGCTCTGCCATCAGGTGTGACCCAGGGTGCTGCTTTTCAGGTGGGGACAGTCCTCACAAAGGGCCCTTTGTCCTCAGCTTCCCCTGGCCCGAGTTGCATTGTTCTCCCCAGAGAAGGGCACAATGGGGCATTGTGTAGAGCAGAAAAGGGGCCTTGTCCAGCATCCAGCTTGCTGGGCTCCAGGCTCCCTCTCCGGGTTTACCCAGGGTGGGCGAGGCCATCGGAGAGGATGGTGGGGAGCTCATGTCCTTCTGTTTCCTCTGGGACCTGCCTTCCTGGTTGCTGACTGCAGAGGTCCAGCGAGTCTGAGGGTCTAGAACGCACAAGGGAGCGGACCTGACAGAGCAGGGCTTGCCCTGAGGAGAGGCTGGCCAGCGGCTCAGGGCTGGTCTGTTTCCACCCCAATTTAATCAGAAGTGCGCTGGTCTATTACTGAGCTGGAGAGCGGAGAGAAATATTGACACCTGCTGCACGTCAAGCCCAGCGGGAGCAGCAGACGCACAGGCCACGTGTGGTCCGGTTCACCGTATGTGACACGCCCGACATGTTCAGGATAAGCAGTCCGGGGAGACAGAAAGCAGACCGGTGCTTGTCTAGGGCTGGGGGTGGGGAGTGAAGAAAGTACTCCAGAGCCAGACAGAGGGGACGGCTACGCAGCACGGGGAGCCCGCTCGCTGAAAGCCACCCAGCGCACACTTCCAAATGCTTACACGCTCTGCCCTGTGAATTTCACTTCCACGCCTGCAAGCCCCAGGAACGCAGGGGTCTATCTCTGGAGAGGCCTCTCCCCCACACCAGGAGCCCCGGGGTAGGGGGAGGGCTCCTAAACCTACATTTTCAAGCCAAAAACTGCTGGAGGAAAAAGCCTGGTTCCCGAAGGACTGGTGCAGAGCCCCACCTGGACAGAGCGAGCGAGAAAGAGCCCAGAAGAAGACAAGAGGAGAGAAAGGGAGGCTTCCCCGAGACGACCCATTAGCTCAAGCCTGGGGCTGGTGTCCCACGGACCCACAGACAAGCCAGAACCCCTGGGCCCATCCCTGGGGGGCCATCCACAGCTCCCCCGGTGCCGTCCCAGAGCGGAGGCACACACAGGCCCACGGGCTGGCGGTACTCCCAGCAGCTGCGGGAGGCTTCACGGAGGAATGAGCCCCGTGTTGGCACCTCATCCAACTGTCCCCAGGCACCCTGGCTTGGCAGCCCCCGCTGCCTCAGGGCAATTGTTCCTGCCGTGCGTCTGCAGCTGTCTCTGGCACCCACAAGACCCCAGCTTGGGCCCGACCTAATCGCCCTCCCTTCATTTACCCCAATTTTTCATGTCTTGACATCTGTTGATGGGGGGGACAGAACCCTCGGGTGCTAACATCTGTCACTTTCTTCTGGGGGGTGGTCAGTTTGGGCTGGTCCCACCCTGACTGTCCAGTGGCCAAGACCCTGGGTAAGGCTGGCAGGTGCCGGTGGGGGTGGGTGAGCAGGTGCTGGGCCATTTGCTGGTTTGCGGGAACTGTGACTCACAGACGGCTGTTCTGCTTGGCTCACCCGTCTCCTCTCCTGGCACCCTCACCTCTCCTCCCGTGCCTCCACCCCAGAAGGAGATGTGGCTCTGTGCGGCCAGGCAAGGCCGGTAAGCCAGGACCGCAAGGCAGAGACGAAAGCAGAAAGTCAGCGTGCTGTTACCGTCCGTGGCTGTCAAGCCCGACGGGACAAGAGTACGTGCTCTGAAGTGTTTCTCTTGGAGTCAGACTCTGTCCCGGAGGAAGATCTGGAAACTGCCCAGGCCGGGGGTCACAAACAGGAGGACTGCGGGCTGAATTCTGCTTGCAGACCTGTGTCAGTTACCACTCACCACAACAATACTGTGTAACAAATGGACTTCAAACCAAAAATCATGGTGCCGGCCACACTGCTACCCTCCGAGCTGGGCTCAGGCCGTGCGTCTGCAGTCGGCTGAGGTCTGGGGGCAGCTGGACGCTGGCTGGACGCCGGGCGGGCTGGAGCCTCTCTCTGGAGGCCTTACAGCCTGGCCCATAGCGGCTCCACACTCCCCTCCCAAGCGGGCTCCAGATGGCATCTGCACCCAAGACCCCTGATTTGGCCCAAACCACTTATTTCATGGGTTGTGGAGCTTGTGCCCCCCACCCTCCAGCACTGTGCCTCACGTCCGGAGGACTTCTGCCCCTGATTCTAGCAGACAACTCACTTCTGAAGAGAACAGGTGGCATTCCTATGAGGTGTTCTCCGCAAAGGTGGAGACAGCCCCAGCGGTGCGGACGGGCTCCGGAAGTTGCTACTTGGACTGACAAGGGGGGGCTCCTGGACGCCCAGCAGCCCACATCCACCAGCTCACACAGGCCCCACAGCGAGCCCACGGAACAGACGGGCATTCCGGACTCCCCCGCTGCCCAGAGGAAGTCCGGACTCACCCAGAGTCAAAGGGCCACAGGGGACAGAGGCGTCCCGTTCCCGTGACCTCCACGCCCTCTTTGGCAGAATTTCAGCGGCGTCTCAGGGGACCCCTGCAACTCCCTCCTGCCCCTTTCCACACCCTGAGGGTGGGAGGCAGGGGCAGGTGGCCAATCTCGCTCTGAGCCTTCCTGATGGGCTCCCAAGAACGTCAGCTTTCTTCCCTTCTGCACAAGGCTCCCGCCTGAGGGGGTCTTAATTCGACCCTCCTTCACCAAGTTCCGAAAAATAAATCCTTGGGAGACAGCGGAAATCTTTTGACAGGGTGTGTTTTAATTTGCCTTCAGCACTGCCCTGTGTCTGGAACCTTCCGTGGGGGCAGAGCCAGCCCGGGCCCCTCACTCCGAAAGAGGATTTTTCTCTCCGAGACTTTTATTTCAAGCTGATGTCTGCCTTTCTCAGTCATAACGGATGTGGGGCTCCACTCCCGAGGGCTTCCCACGTGTGCATCTTCAACAGGAAACCTCGTTAAATCTGAAAGTTGAGTTCGGAAGGACAAGCACAGCTCCCGGAACCTATCCGGGCTCAGAAGCCGGTTTTCTGGACTGAGGGTTATCTTCCGACGTGCTGGCTCCCCTCCGGCAAGGGGGCTGGGAAAGCCTCTCCAGGCCCCGTTGCCTCTCAGAGGAGCCCAGTGACCAGAACGCAGAGGAGCTTGGTGCAAGGGGACAAGGACCCAGCTGCTGGTGAAGGGCAGGGGTCCTGAGCTGGGGACTGGGGTCCAGGGGGCAAGCTCCCAGAGTAGCCGGAAAGCCCAGGGTCCAGAATGAGGGTGGGGTCTGGGGCCCAGGATGCTGGAGCCTGGTATTACGCAAAGCCCATGTGCTCA